TTTAAATATATTATATTTAAAAATATATGTTTTTAATTTATTAAATTAATATATTAAAATAAAATTATTACAAAATAATTAAATAACCTGAATATATGCTTCGGATAATGTAATCATCTGCGGCAGTATTTCTGTTACGTGCAGATCTTGCATTTCGTACCATTTTCCGCTGCCCTGTGGAAGTATAAAATAAAGCGTGAATAAATTTGAAATGCTTCCGATTAAATCTCGAAGAAAGTTCTTAATATTTTCAAACTTACGCGGTGCAATATGTGAATGCGGTAAGTGCCCTTTCCCGCGCCCGGTTCTCCGTCGTGTACGATGTTGGCTATCAGGTCGTACACACATTTCGGATGCGTATTGCGTACGCTGGGATGAAGCAATTCTGTCATGTCTACGTTCCTAAAATATATTTGTTAATAATCTTTGTTATAAATATTACTTGAAAAATAAAAAAAAAATTAAACTTACTTGATTGGAAAGTTCACGATAGTTGGATTTTTTTCAACAAAAAATGTATTTTTGGTAAATCTCTAAAATTTTAAAAATAAATCTTTTAATTGATTTTATAAGATTTTACATTAGCTTTTTATATTATACTTAACACAAGTCCTTACTTTTATATAAAGTATTAAATAAGGAGGTAATTTTGTTATTTCAAATCTTTTCATTGTAGAATCTTTATAGGTCCTATATTCTTTTTCTGATGTACCATTAAATTTGGCTAATATAGTGAATAATGGTACTTGAGGAATGATCTTCTCTTTCAGTTCGTCTTTATACAATGGAGGAGGAGGTAGATCCACAGTCAAGTACAGGAAATTTGATTTTTCCATTTTTTCTAAAAATATAAACATTTAAAATTGATTTCCAACACAATTTTTTGGAAAGCATATGTTGAAAGTGAAATAAATTTTGAAAAACCTTTATAGAGGATTTTAGGCTTGTTTTTGACCCTAGAATTTATCCCTAAGACGTCGGCACTGAGTTCAGTTACACTGTATAACTGCGCAAGTAACTAATTTTCTCTTATGAAATACGCAGGATTATTTTAATTAAAGTATTCTTATTCAATACTCTCTGGAGAAATGCAACCAAACTTTGTATGCTAGCATTTCAGGACATGGAAAGCAATTTTCATACAGAAAAATTCAGTTCCAAAATTTTCTACTATGGAACTTATGGAATTATGAATGGAAAAAACACATATTATATGTGTAATTTATATATGCTGTAGGCAATTTTTTTGCATAAAAAACTGCTTACAGCATGATAGGATCATCACAATGATCACAACCATGCCAAAACAAGTTTTTAAATAATGGTAATGCTGAGTGAACTTCAAATGTTCCAAATTCTTCAGAAATTGTATCAAGATCCCTTTTTGACACTCACAGCACAAATCCCATCCATAGTATTGAATTTTGAAAGTATTACTTCCCTACGTCCAGAAATGTCTGCATATAAAATTTGGTTGCATTTGTACTATTTATTACTACAGATAGCATTGAATAGGGATATTTCGTGATAAATCTGTATAAAGACAAATATGGAATACGGATAATCACGATCGTACTATTATGATTCGGTCAAACCGAAAATTTCTGAAAGTTAAGAGTATAATTCCACGCCTAAGTTAGGGATTTTAAACCAAAGTAATATTGTTCAATTAAGAAATAAAAGCTAAATAATTTATACTATTGAAATAAAATGATACAGAATAACAGTGTGTAAAAATTCAGTTAAGAAAAAGCTAGAAAATTGATATTTTCGATAAATCGGAACGAGAGCGATACCAAAATTATCAGATTCAATTCTATGTTATACCAAGATTAAAATACCAACAAAAAATTTAATTAAAGTATTCCAATAAAATGACAAATGTAAGTAGTTGAAGAATCTATTGAAATTTTTCTATATTAAATTATAAACTTTTTATAGTAATGTTTAAATAGTGAAACTTGCATATGTGCTAATACAGCATCGTTTATTATCTAATATAAAATTTTTCTAATTAATATTCAACTAATTGAAATATACGAAAATCATTTGAAGAAATATCAAATATCAATACATATTTTCTTCTGTATAAATCATTTCTTAGTTTTTATCAAGTAAATATTCTTAGAATTTTTTTTAATAAATAATTTTGGTATAATTTTAAAATTGATTAAGTGAGAATTTCCAAATAAACTTTCTACTGAAGAAGAGATCAAAATAGACATTTTATTCTCATAAAAATTTAATACAACACCACAATAAATCCACATTTCGTCAATAAAAAGTTCTGTGTAAACAAGCAAATGACCATTTTTAAAAATGAAATAAAGAATATTCATAAAATTGCACAAAAGAGGTCACTTTCAATGTTCATTTTATTAAAAATTAATAATCTGAAGCTGTGTGACTAATTTAATATTAAATTACAAGTTATCGAGTTATCTGGTTTTCTTCTGAAAACATTTGATATCTATTGAAAGGAGACAGATTAGATCTGTAGAATTTCTATAAGAACAGGACTAAAGTCGGATTTAAATCATCAATCAAGCCTACAACTTCCCATCCTACTCTATTATTTCAACAGATGTTTTATTTCAAATTAGATTCTGTTCAATTTGTTATTATTTGGATCCATGTGGTTATTAACAAATGTACTTCTCTCAATTCAATGATTGAGAAATTTGTTTTATTTTTATACAATTACAAGAAGATTTAATTTCAACGATAAATAAATTATATAATTAAATTATAATTTTATAAACTATTTAAAATAGAAATATGTACAAAAATACTTTCATATGGATTTAAGCAGAATATAAATACTTTGTGTAAAAGCCAAAATTTTACCTTGTAAATATTATTATTATTAAAAATGTATATAATTAATGAATATATTACAAAATATAAGATCGTATTTTTAATAAAATAATAGTGTTTAATTTGAAATGCAGTTTTCATTTACCTCTATAATCGTCACTCATCAACAACTGTTGTTTTTCTTCTTCACTCTAAATAAACGGAAAATTTATTACATTCTCTTAATATAATTAAATTAAATTAAAATGAATATTTATCTTAATATTACATAAAAATATCTATTTAAATAGTGAAAAATGATTATCTACGAGGGTTATTTTTTTCAACCTTCACTAATGCAAACATATTGGAAACATGTGAGACAGGGACAGGGTGCATACCTAGTAAGTGGTATATTCCCTCACAACTTAGCATTGTGCCAAGCTATTTTAGACATTTGCTACTCTGCAGTAAACATATAAACATTATGTCGCCAATCCAGTCTCCCGCAACTGTGAAGTACGAGCAGTAATTTGATTCCTACAGGCCAAAGGGCTGAATGGAGGTGAAATTCATCAAAGGATGTGCAATGTGTATGGTGAGATCCTCGTGAGCTACGGATGTGTGCGTGAATGGTGCAAATTCAAACAAGGACACGACAATGTTCATGATGAGGGCGGTCAAGGGAGGAAATGTGTGATGACTGACAATTCGGTGGACAAAGTGGATCAATTGGTGTGAGAAAGGCATTGGTTTCTGAGCTCAGTGAAGAATTTCCTCAAATTTCAACGTCCACACTGTATACCGCTGACTGACAGTGTTATAGATTGGCTGAATGCTCTGGTGGCAATGTTCGACATGACTATACAAAAGCTGGTGTCACGGTATGATGTCTGCCTGAATCGACAAGGCAATTATGTGGAAAAATAAGTGAAGACTGTACCAGGTTGTTCAATAAGTTTTGTTGTTCGATAAGAGGTGGCGCTATTAGGATCGTCACTTTATTTCTCTGTAAATAGTACTACTATTTCATAAACACGTGTCAAGTTTCAAGTAGATCCATCAACTCATTGTATATTTGCAGCTGTTCAAAGTTGATGCATCACTGTATTTTTTTACAATGAAAAAAATTGAATATCGTGCAGTGATAAAATTCTTATTTTTGGAAGGTGTAGCACCAAAACAAATTCATGAACAATTGTTAAAAGTGTATAAGGACTCTTCACCTTCAATCAGAACAGTAGAAAGATGAGTTGCTGAATTTAAACATGGTCGTACGAGTCTTGAAGACGATCCACGTGAAGGACGTCCAAAAAGTGCATCAACACCAGAAATCGTAGCAAAAATACAGCATATGGTTTCGGAAGATCATCAATTAACTGAGAGAGATTTAGTAGAAGCCCTAGGGTTTTCGTTAGGCAGTGTGAGCAATATTTTGGCTGAAGTTTTGGGTTACAGAAAGCTGTGTGCACAATGGGTGCTGCATTCGTTAACTATGGAACAAAAACACATTCGAATGCAACTTTCTCAGCAACATTTGGAGCGTTTTAGAAAGGATAAAAAGGATTTTGTGCATCGTTTCATCACTATGGATGAGATTTGGGTCTACCACCATGATCCTGAATCAAAACAAGAGGCTAAGGAGTGGTGTGAACCCGGTACTTCGGCTCCGAAGTGAGTCAGGGTCCAGAAATCGACCAAGAAGGTGTTAGTATCAGTTTTTTGGGATGCAAAAGGAATTTTGTTTGTGGATTACCTCCAAACTGGTAAAACAATAAACTCAGATTATTATTGTAACCTTTTGGACCAGTTGGATGTAAAATTTCATGAGAAAAGACCTGGTTTAAAAAAGAAAAAAATCATTTTTCATCAAGACAACGCACCCTCTCACACAGCTCAAAAAACCATTGTGAAAATCAGTAAATTAAAATACGAATTGCTGCAACATCCTCGCTATTTGCCAGATTTAGCTCCTTCTGACTTCTGGCTGTTCTCACATCTAAAAACAATTCATGCATGGGAAACGATTTTCATCAAACGAAGAGATAATAGCAGCCATGGAAGTGTATTTTGACAGTCTTCCGGATTCTCACTTTAGGGATGGAATCCATAAATTAGAAGATCACTGGAACAAGTGTATTGAAATTCAGAGAGATTATATTGAATAATAAAATGTATTTCAAACATAAAATCGTGTTTTTCTTATCGAACAACAAAACTTATTGAACAATCTGGTAACTATCTTCTACAAATAAAATGATTTTGTTCTTCATTCTTGTTTTTTTATTCTGGGTCAGTAGAGGTTGAAAAAAAAATAACCCTCATACTTCATTTGGAAAAATTAACTAAGATAATTTAAAAGAGCAGAAATGGACAATTTAAAAGAAAATTTTTATATTCACTAAAAATTAGAAAAGATGACTCCATGGCTACAAACATTAGAAAGAAACTCAAACTGTTAAAGGAGTCAAGATATTTATTGGATTTAGTGCTTTTTGGGATTTTCAAGTTTGTTGGATATGGACTTCTTCCGCACAGTCACAAATCTGCCCCTGAAAACTCCAGGTTAAGCTTCTCCCCAAGTCTTATCTATTTATACTGTACGAATTTCCTTAGGTCAGACTGACATTTTGCATTGTTTTAAAACTTTCAAATTGTCTGTGCAAAGTACTAAATTATTGATACATTTTTATTTATTGTAATTTTGTTCTTAATTATTTTTTATCTTTTCAGTTGTTATGTTATCTTGCCTCCTTTTATTTTAGTTTTATTAGTATTTTGTTTTTTATTTTTATTTTTGTTTTAGTTTATGCATGAATAATATAATAATTTCATTTTTATTATAAACCTTAAAAATTATTAATTATTTTAAAAATATTTGTTAATTGGTTAAAGAAATGATTGAATTTATAATGTTGATTGGTCAGATTCAAAGTGTTTTGTACAAAAAGTTGTTGTTTGTTACTTGATTGCTTCTTGTTCTCTTTTAGTTACCGTATATCTGCGCAGATAAGATGAGGTATAAATTTTTGTCAAAGTTTTATAGTTTTAGCATATATCTGTCCTATAAGACGACCTCCAAATTAGCAATTGCTTATGAATTTAGTTTAGATCAGCGATCATCATCTGGATAATAATACTGCATAGCATATACGGAATTATGTCCTATTCGTAATGTTTCGAATACACAAATTTTATTTTCTTGCATTTGACAGTGCTGCCTTGCGATTATTGAAAACATTCGCACTGATTCGGGCATTCAGGTAATGACCTTGACTATTCACAAAAACTTTGTATGGGCTATTTATATACATTGGTGAATGATTTGTTTTATTTTATAATGGTTTTAATTTATATAGATTTCAATTTAATTTTTTTTGTATTTGTCCTATACGATGACCCCAGATTTTGGGTGTCTTTTTTTATGATTCAACTATTGTCTTATCTGCGCAGATATACGGTAATAAAGTCTGTCTGATCAATCCTAGGAGTTCCAAGACAACTTTCAACAACAGTTGTTTTATTCAAACTGTAAGAACATTGTTCTAAATCTTCCCAAAGCTGATTATATGCTATTAAATAATACCAACAAAACCTTCAAAATGTACCAGAAAATATAATTTAATATAAATACATTATGACAAACATTTTCGATCCCAATATGACACAGATCCTATTGGGATCAAAGATGTTTGTCATATAACATATTTATATTAAATTATATTTACTGGTATATTTTGAAGGTTTTGTTGGTGTTATTTAATTAATGTAAGAACATTGAATGTTGCGGATATGAAGATGGGATTGAAAATTCCAAAAAGTGCTTAATCCAATAAATATCCAGACTACTTTAACCCATCTTGAGTTTCTTTCTAATGTTTAGATTCATTATCAATACTATCTTTAATGTGTAATTTATCTGACATCTACACTAATTTTAAGGTAAAAATAATATAAACACGGATATCAGTAACAAGAAATTGATCAAATAAACTTGAAATTTTATAAAAATCTTAGTATTCAGTATGAATTCTTCACACGCAGACATTTTGGCAAAATTATTACATGCTACATAAAGTGCTTACATTTATTGAAAAGTGTATAGAATATTCAATCTTTATATCAAAATAAATATACTTAAATATTCATTTGTCCATAAATGTTTTCAATACAAATATTTCTAGATAATAAATTTATAATCACTCATAAACTTTATTTACTTTATTAAATAATATTTTCATCTCTGTCACACATTATTTTATATAATTATTATTCTTTTTATTATAACCATAATTAAAAACAACTTTTAAAGTAACATTACTTACCTTATCGATAGATATAATTTTTTTGGAATACATTCTCATAGCACCTCTAAATGCACAATAAACAATACTGCTTTGATCTTTTTTACTTCCATTTAAAGCAAGATGCAAACTATTTAAAAACCATGACATAAATGCAATAGGATCACCTGTAAAAAATTCAAACATATAATAACAATTAAGATTAGCCAATTCTAATACTTCAATTGATATAAAATTTAAATAAAATATCAAAATTTTAACTGGCTGATGCTAGCTTTATCCAAGTATTTTGGTTAAAGCAAGTAATTTATTCATTTTGAACTTATCTTTACAAAAGCCACAAGTAGATAAAGCAGACATTATCCAAAAACAGATGGATGAAGCAAAAACAAAGATTAAAATTTGAGCTTTTTTATAGATAATGTAAAGCCTATTTACCTTTGTATGGATACAAGAAATGGATCTTAGAGATGAGTGTATCACATCCAAATGGTAACTTCAGCCTATAGATCAACGTTGCACAAACTCTTCATCTTTTGCTGTAGATGCTGAGTATATCCAATATTTATCTATAGGCTGAAGTTATCATTCAGATGCAAATGTATGGATAGAGCTAAATATAGATGTTTCTCTTTCATCAGCATGAGCATTTTGTTTTTAGACAAATTCCCTAAATTCCCTCCTCTTTTTATCAAAAATGATTTGGATAAAGCCTGAATTTTAACTTTTGTTCTTGTTTTGTGCATCTGTTTTTGGATAATGTCAGCATTATCCACTTGTGACTCTGATAAGGTTAGCATTAGAGCCAGTTATCCTAGTTTTCTCTAATTTATGGGCTTTAGCCATAATATATGACCTTTCACATCCAAAATTTAATAGCACCAATACCCCTTATATACAAGCTACTGTGTCAAATTTCATTTCTTTAGCTTCACTCTGTCTGGAGATATTAAGCAAAATAGACTCCAACACACACACACACACATCCACAAAATACTTTTGCTGTTTTTTTTTTTTTTTTACTTTTTTGGGTTCAGGTCTCAAAACATGGAGTTTTGCAAAAATCTCAGAGGGTCTAATTTGACACAATTCATTACTTTCTCTTGTTATGTATACATAACAAGCAAGGAAAGTAATAAATGCATCATCTCTACTTCATATCCATTATAGAGATTATTTGTATCTAGTTGGAATATTATTTCACAGAATAATAAACATGATCCTTTTTGCTAAATTAATCAATGAAGATGGGGCATATTAAAGTATAAACCAGGGATGTCCAACCTGTGGCCCACTGCACTCTAAATTTTTAAGGTACATTTTCATTTATTTTCGTAAAGTATGTTGTAAAAATTATTCTCGTTTCACTGGTTACACTTTGATGTCGTAATGACGTAATTGGTGACATAATTTGTAACTGATCAATCAAAAAAGTTGGTGGCGTGGTCTGTCATTTTGATTGTTTCAGTTTCAAAGATTTTTGTAATTAAGTGATGTTGTTAGTGATAAAGAATGGTACCTTTCATCAGGCGGATGAAAAAGTCACGTAATCCCCCTTTTCAAAAGAGTGTCGGCGATTTTTAGTGGTTCGGATAAGTTTAATCTCAAAGTGGAATGGGCTAATTTCTTATTTATAGAAATAAAGAATAAATTAGCCTCTTCCACTTTGGCATTCTTTCTAATTACAGGTATATAATACAGACATAAGACTATCTGTATATTTCTTTTGCTAACGTAATAATATAAATATTTTCAACCTCCAATTATATTCATAATTATTTCATCAACTTTAAATTTATATTTTTAATAACCCAGCATTTGGTCATGGCATCTAATACTAAGAAAATAAAAAATAACAAAAGAAAACAAAAAATGAAATATCTTTTGGCCAGANTCCTCTCACTTTGGAATTCTTTCTAATTACAGGTATATAATACAGACATTAGGTCTATCTACAAATTTCTTTTGCTAACATAATAATTTAAATATATATAAATTAGCCTCTTCCACTTTGGCATTCTTTCTAATTACAGGTATATAATACAGACATAAGACTATCTATATATTTCTTTTGCTAACGTAATAATATAAATATTTTCAACCTCCAATTATATTCATAATTATTTCATCAACTTTAAATTTATATTTTTAATAACCCAGCATTTGGTCATGGCATCTAATACTAAGAAAATAAAAAATAACAAAAGAAAACAAAAAATGAAATATCTTTTGGCCAGAAAAATATTTAATAATCGAAACATGCAATAATATTATCTGCCTTATTTGTCATGATAAAATTGCAGTGTGAAATTCTATATTTTCAGAATTTATTAAAAAGAAAAGAAGAATTTCCAGTGGACTTTTCACATAATTTACTATATTTTTCATTTTTGTTTAAAGATATAACAACCAGATTTTCTGACTTCATAAAAATAAAAATTGAATTAAAATCGTTTAGTGATCCATTTTTATTTAATTATGTGGAAACACCAGCCGAATACCAGCTAGAAACCTTTGAAAACTAATCATAGAGAACATTCCCTTCTTGAATTTTACAAAGAAGTTCATTCTTTCAATGAATTTGATGGAATTGTCAATTTATCTAGAAAACTGTTATGTATATGGAGTAGTACATACTGTTGTAAACAATTCTTTTCGTGCACGAAAAACATCGAAACTGCTGAAAGAAATAGGTCAAGTGATTCCCATTTAACTAACATTCTTAGAATTAAGACTGGTATAAAAAGGAAGGCAATGGCAAAAATCACATTGAATTTATTTTTATTTTGCATGAGTATAATTTCGTTTTTTATTGTAAATAATACAGTATGTTTTGTAATTATATATATATACTTGTTATTAAAATTTTATATTTACATTTTGAACTTTTTAAAAGTATATATTTATATAAAGTATCTTTGTGACCCGCTGAATATACCTAAATTTCTAATTTGGTTCATTAGGAAAAACAGTTGGACAACCTTAGTATAAACCAATGAAAGTAGAATCTCCATTCCATTATTGTCTGTCTACAACTGAAAATGTAATTAGTATTCTTTCAACTTTACCTGCAGCTAAAGGTACATTGATTAATTAACAAAGATTAACTATGCTGACTAGTTTAAATTTTATTTTTTAATATTATACTGTTCTTTAATTAGTAAACATGCAGTTTATTTAAAATACCTTGTTCTGTAATTTGAAACTTCTTCTTGCTGCAAAGCACCACAGCCTGTAACATTTCGTGAGGACTGACGTGCGCCTTAAAATTCCGAGGATTCCATAATTTTCTTAACAATTCGCCAAATCTTTGAACTAATAACACCATAATGTCACCAGGCGGTCTTGGAATTTTACTATAATTTTCTTCCCTTAAGAAATAATTTCTGAGGGGAGGCACGTGAGAGAGTGCCTAAAATATTTTAAAATTTGAGTCAAATTTTTATAATAATTATAATAATAAAACTTGTAAATTCTCATACCACAAAATTATAATACATCTTACCTGTAATATAACATTACAATAATCATTTGCTTTAATGTTGTTCAATCCGACAATACCTAATAAAAAGAACGAGACAACAAATTAAATAAAAATTTAATGAATTTGGAAAAATATTCAAGCATTTTAATGTTACAGACTATTTATAATCTAAAAATATCTTTTCTATTAATTAAAATACAAAAAATATGTATACTGAAGATAGAATTTGCACACTTTTTTCAGATGCGCAGCTTCAAATAAAAGGTCGTTTCTATAAGTAAAAATTGTTTTTTTTTTGGATTATCGCTGGTGATTGTAAATGATGAAAGAGAAAGATGAAGAAAATTTTGTAGCTTTAATAGACATATTTTTTGTACAGTAGAGCATCGATTATCCAACCCCCGATTAACCGTCACATTGGTTAACCGACTGTTCTAGTCGGCAAATTTCAAATGTCCGCTAGTGATGTGGCGCTACGATATTTGGCTATGTCTTGGCTACTTTAATATTATTTTTGATAAATTTTTGCGTGTTTTAGCTGACAACACGGCTCGACCATTGAAGGGAGGCCAGTATTTAAACGAGACATAATTTTCTAATTATGAGTGGTTGTTTGTTTTGTGAGCAATAAAATAATTTTAAAATAATTTTTAACGATACAATAGCGACGATTATTATTAAAAAAAAAAATTTTGAAAAAACATCAATGAAAATTCAACACGAAGTAGGTTAATAGCGATATACTAATATACTATACAGTCGACCCCCCTATAACACTGTTGATTTTTCCGTTTTATATGAATTCCATGTTGTATGAGTCACTTAGATTTTACAAATACGTGTGCCGGGCTGTGAACAGCTCACGTATTTGTAAAATTCTTATCTCCTACATCTGTTAATCATTTTAGAATGAATTAATTCGCTGACACGAAAGTTATACCACACACATTATTTAATTTATATAAATTTAATAAGTTATAAAACTAATAATACCTTAAAAATTTCAGTAATATAACTTCAAAAATATTTAGAAATTAAAGAAATAAGTAACATTTCCATATTGTTAAAATTAAATTTACTTTAAAATAAACTTTAATTAATTAATACAATTAGATTCAGATCAGATTAGCTATTAGCAATTCTCTAGGGCCAACAGTAAAAGATCAACTTCTTCCTTCGTCTTTAAATTATAATAAAATAAGTATAAAATGCGTATGAGGTTTCCATGTATGGTCTTGCTTTCTATCTATCTAACTCCATTCTTAAGATTAAGGAAAGACAGATGACAGTGGGAATTTATACGTCTACAATTTTTTCAAATTGCAGCCTAGTGAGTATCTTAAAAACCTATGTAATGACATTTTTCAATAATATTCTGAGAATATGAAATATAGTTACATCAACATTAATCAGTATAGTTACTGACTAACTTTGGATGTAACTTTAATGTTTGGACAATAAATAACAAGATACAACTAATACATTGCAAAAGCTTTCGGTAAAATGAAATTACCATCTTAAGGCAAAAGATGGAATATAACTAGAATTAAGTATTAAAAAACTTATTTTTTTTTTTTATACTTGTATTTAAAACTTTTTAGACTTAATTTTAGGTCAAGTTTTATCTTTTGTTTGATAATAGTAAATTTATTAGCCTAAAGCATTTCCAATTTATTAGTTATATTGTGTTATTTATTTATTGTTCCAAAATTAAAGTAAAATCTAAGTCAACTTTTCTGTTCTATTTACTGAATTCTTTACGTTTGTTATTCTTTCCTCTTATACACTAATTGATAATAAACAAGTAGAAAAATATTAAGCAAGTCAATAAACATTTTAAAATTATATAAATATAATTTAAATTAATATTTTGAAGTCTTACTCATTGCATTTATTTAAAATCAAAACTCAGAAAATAATCATTTTTCTGTATACATTAATTCAAACTTCAACATTAAGTTTATTTATTTATATTTTTAGGTAGCTATTACATATTATTCTGCTACAATTTTTGTACATATTATGCGTTTGATTATTATAATTCACTGAGTTGAATCAAATCCTGCAGGATGTATCATTTTTTTTTTTTTTTGATTTTTTTTATTACTCAATAAAAATAAAATATAATGACAAAAGTTATTTACGTTTAAAAATTAAGAATAAAATTTATCAAAGAAACTAGTATACGCATATCCACATTAATATTCCAATAATTAATTGAACAATAAATTACCAAACGATAGCCTAAATATCGGGCTATAATTAAATGATTGGAATAAAGTAATTTGACATTAGAGGTAGGCGTTAGGCGCCATCTCTTAAGTAAATTAATAATTAAAATTAAATAAATAAATTTTAGAACCTTCTGGAATAAAAGAACTGGCCCGGGACGGGGCTTGAACCCGCAACCTCCGCTTGCCGTGCAGTGCGCTGGCCAGTTACGCCACCTGGACCCCGAGCGAGTCTTCGCTTCCAGAAGTATATTAGATTAGACCTTACTTGGTTAAATACATCAGTACCCGGGCCAGTTCTTTTATTCCAGAAGGTTCTAAAATTTATTTATTTAATTTTAATTATTAATTTACTTAAGAGATGGCACCTAACGCCTACCTCTAATGTCAAATTACTTTATTCCAATCATTTAATTATAGCCCGATATTTAGGCGATTGTTTGGTGATTTATTATATACTATTCGGGCTTTGAGTTGTTGTTATTTAATTGAACAATATAAAGATTTATAACATTGAATATAAACATAAATGTATGTGGTGCCCGTCCCCCACGTCGTCATGATTTGGTCAAGTCCGATGTCGTGCGCAGGCATTCGGGGCAGGCGGGAAAAAAGACGAACCGCTAGAATCACGACATAACACGAATGACGTGTCAGCTCAAAGATGATAATATTTGTTCAACAATTAGTATTAAGATAATTTGTTTAGTGTTCTTCGTTTGTAACGTTCCTTTTCTGTATCGTATTAAAATATACGTCATTATATATCATAAGAAGTTCCTCATATTCTTTCTTAAACTGTGTTCCGTATATACTTCTTAATGCCCAGCCCAACCATCTTTACACATCCACATGTATTTTACAGAAGTTTCTGAATGTCAATACCAGAATCAGTTGGTGGTATGGATTATTTAAGGTAAAAAAACAAAAGAAATTGTTCAAAAATAATAATCACACTGTGATGTGATTTATAATATAATGTATTTTCATGATATTTATGCCTGCTATAACAATTAATTCTTCTCCATATTTGGCATTTTTATTATTTCTTTCAGTAATCAATTAAGTTTCCTATTATAGGAAATATTTAACAACATGAAATGTTAATATTATCAAGATTTACTTCAAAAAATTCTTCATATATTTCTATACTTCATATTTATTTTAAAATGTAGAAATTATAAATTTAAATAATGTTAATTTCATGCTGCATTTTATATGAGAGATGGATCAACTTGTAAAAAGTTTGAATATAGAAATTAAAAATAAATTTACAATAAAATTTTTAAGTCATTTCCAACTTTTAATAATAATTCAGAAAAATTCTGTAGATTATGTATTATCTATGCTATAAAAAACAAGTAAAATGGCAAAACCGTATTTGGGACAAGACTATGTCTTGGAGACGAAATCACTTTGATGCTCAAGGCAGGTCTTGTTCTCATTCTCCTATCTTCTTTGATATCACTGCTTTTGGGCGTGATCGTTCAAACTTCGCCGGCCAAGACCATGAGATCGTCCACGATGCATCTTCGATGAAATTAACCTATCTAATTTCAAAATTTCTCTCCATTGCATGTCGGCCTGGGTTGAATTTTTGTCAATGCATAACGAAAAGTTCCCATTTTTGAAAAAAATAATCATGGCTATTGTATCGTCCGAAATTATTTTTTTATTTTGCACAAACAATATACAGTTTAACCCAATTATAATGTCATCGGATGTAACGACAATCCTAATATAACATCAAATTTTTATCAATTCTACGATTTTACCATACTAGATAATGTTAAAAAATCCCCACTTGTAATGACATAAACCATTTTAACGTCATATTTGAAACACTCCCAAATTTACAAAATTAGATTACAAATTTTATTTAACAGTAGAAAGTACGTGTTCAGTCCTAAGGTCAGAGTTCACTTCTTAGAATGACTGTAGGTGGTACTCTCCCCTACCTGACTTCGGTGGGGTGAGGTGGCTGTTTTGCCTGTTTATAGAAGAGGGTTGCCATTTTGTATTTTATTTTGACTTGGTTCTCAGTCCCCTAACTACCTACAAGTCTGGAACTTTTTATGTGCAAATGATTTTAGCACCTAATACTCTGTGCCAAATATCAACTCTCTATATGTACTCCTTCATACCTCTACGCTGGTAAGAACATCGGCCAGTACGATTTTATAAACAAGACATAGTCTTGTCAATAAACAGATATATTTATTATATAACAAATATATCTGTTTGATATGCTATATATAATACTTAAGTTTTAATTTCGTTCAACTGAAAAATTATACATACCTGGCATATACGTAGTTCCGTCGTACGCTCTTGATAATTTGTTATTTGATTCTAAATGAGCTATTTCTTTTAGAGTAAACGTTGGTTTCAGCACATACTATTAATAATTCAAAATAATTGTTAAATATTTTTAAAAAACATTAAAAACATAAGAATAATATTTTACCGTAATATCATCGAGCGACGAATCAATAATTTCGTAATTGTCTGGAAGGCAGTAAAAACGGAGTGTTGACAGATTGAGGAAAACGTGATGACCTGCCTGAACACTATGCATGTAACAATGAGTGTTAGGACCTCGACCTAAAACCATTCATCATTTTTGAATTAAAGAATAATAGCAATGATAAACAGTTAAAAAAAAAAATATTCATGAATTTTCAATCATTTACAAGCACTCTTCATATTTTTTACTTCATTAATATATAAAAAAATTAGTTGATGAAAAACAATCTTGTTTTGATTTAAATGATATTAGTCTATATTTATATATAATATATTTTTAAAAGCTAAATACATAAGTAATTACCTTGAAAGTATTTTCCACAAACCATACAGGCATAAACATTAATACGCGACAAGGAAACCGAACATAATTTTTCAAAGTCGAAATCTAGAACGTGCCTAAAAAGAAAAATATTTCAGTATAAGACTAAATTTAATGCGTAAAAAAAATGACAAAAATCATTTATATCAGATTTATTGTTCTTTTCTTTTGAAATAAACAACATAAAACATTTGTAAAATTATAATGGCAATCATTAATATGAAATAAAAAGAAATATTAAACTTTATAAAAAAAATTTAAATTATATAATACATGAATTTAAAGTATATAAAACAAAATGTTTGAATTCGATAGGAAAGTGTGAATCAATAATTAAATTGTCTTTTCCAATGGATAGTTTCAGTTTACTTAGTTTTATTTAGGTTCTATTTTAGACAGTTTAAGCATTAAATGGAATTCATATTAGATATGAATTTCTGGAATAATTATAAGAATTGAAGTTTTTTAAAGAACATATAGGTTAATAATGCCAATGTGTTTTTGAAATGTCTAACCATTCTTCCTCCTTTAAAAAATTAATAAACCATGTAAAACCTATTATTTTGTTTCTATTATACAATAATGTCACATCAATTATTTGGAATAATAAACTATGCAATATATAAACAAAAGTGTTATTGTTTATTGTATAAAAGAAATTTCAAGACAATGATTCTATTATAAAATTCATTCTGCAACTAGATACAAGAAAATATTATTTAGAAATATTTTATATACTAAATTTAAATATAATTACATTAATACAAACTTAAGTATTACTTTAATTTATAGAATTTTGCAACAGTTCTTATATAAAAAAAAAAATTGCTATTATTATATTAAACTTTGTACAATGCAATTTAATGCTATTTTTAATTATTTCATCAAAAAATGCAAAAATCATTTAGCATTTAATCTATAATTATATATACCTGTTAATGGTGTCTAGATATGGACAGTTCCTACTTTTATCCCTTGATGGTTGAGTAATTCTTCCTGAATAACCAAAGAAAAAAAAAATTATATTAAAAAATATTCTAAGTCTTACAATAGTAAATGTATCTCTATCAAATTAAAAACATCAAGATCTCAATGCCGAAATAGAGAATATATTATCTCCTTAAAAATTTTATTACAAAATATTATCACAGACAGCAAAGATGGAGGAATATCATGAATTTTAAACAAATATAAAATATAAAAATCTTTGATTTTAACACAATTTCAAAATTAACTTTAGTATGATGTTAACATAATGAAGAAGCTTTTAGAAAAAAATGACAAATTATGAACTGATTAGTTTATATTGACAAAACAAATGAACAAAAGCCGAAATAAAAATCAATAGAAACACTACTATGAAATTCAATTTAATAGAACTAATGTTTTCAACCACCATCATCAGGCAATACTGTAGAATAAATAAAACACTTATGCATATTTCAAGCCAAGGATCTGCCTTTAGAAGCAGCTGTCGGCTAGACTTGCGTCTTCACAAACACGGATTTACGACCAATACTAAAAATCCCAAGTTTGCTCGTATAACAGTGTTTTAGAAAATGTCCACTCTCCAACATTATCGCTATTTTTGACTTCAACATTGACAGACACACACATGTTTCAATAAAAGTTTTAAATTTCTAATTAAATTACGAAAAATTAATTTTTTTTTCTAAAAATCTGCCACGTACGAAATCTCATCACAAAGTCTTATAGATATACAAAACCTTCCCCTCTTCGGTACAAGAAAACAAACTTAAAAGTTGTTGTAAGTCCAAATCCACATTCTTTAGGCCGTAGGCCATACGGAATTATTCATTTTTGTAATTTTTTCTATACATAACATTTTATATAATACTTATTATATATAAAACCACACCAACTGCAGTGTAATATCAAGTCATATTATACGGCAGTTGACATGGCTTTATAGTAACGAACTGGATTTTGGAAGACGTTTATATCTCTACTTATTATACGCGACACAATGTACTATTACTCTGTATTCTACTAGTAATCTGTCTCGAAGAATAAGCCAATATTATAAATGTATCATTGCGATTAAAAAGAATGAAGATTGTTCAAAGGATTGTTCAATTTCTGGCCGAGAGGATCTTCTACGTTCGCTGGGAGTCGGCAACTTTGTTTTCTTCTTTCGTTAACCGGAGAATCACTCTTATTCTACAGAAAGAAAAATGAAGAGAAGATCCTATGGTAATAACTAAGACCGGTCCTCTCGAACGGAAATCGAACGATACTTTGAAGAATGTTTCCATAGAAGCTCAGAATTATCTAACGAGGATGAGTCAAGAATGGAGACTGAATGGTAACAATGTTGTCTACAATCTTTCTACAAATTGTAGTTTTATTTCTCAGCCTTTCATTGCTATTAAGTCAGTCTCATCTGTAATGTAAGGATGGCAAATATGGAAATTGATTTATATTGAAATTGACAACCTGTAATAAGAAAAAAACGATTAGATGACAGTGTCACGTGTTTAATAGGATATTCTACGAACTGTAAGATTACTGTATTAAATTTTAAACAGGATACGAAACAAAGTAAATTTGTAAATCATTTAAAAAAAAATTAGTTATTTATACTTTAAAAAATCATATTAATAAGCATTAAGAACTTATAACGGAACGAACTTTTCGCTTCCGGTTCATTGTTTTCCACGTCTTCCGATTTTCTTTTCAAAATTGAACTTGTCGATTTCTTCTCTTCTGCCGCCATTTTCTACGTGCCGCTAGTTACAATTTATTCCGCCAGATGTCGCAAGGTCAACAAAAAATTTTAAAAAAAAATTACATCTCGTCTGCACTCTTTCTAGATAAAAATTAAATATAATATAAAGTAAATTATATATAATTAATTATTATTACCGTTGAGATTTTTATAAGTATTAGCACAGACAATGTCGTAAAAATTTAATCTTTTTATCTATATTTGTTTTTTTAACCCGAAGGACACTTCTAGCCATCCATCGGTGGCCCTATGGACAAAACCGCCGAATACTGGTCGTGGGTTTGCCCCTGGTCAACTGTCGGGCCACGTGGAATTTTCCGGGTTCTCGTCACGTTTGTAACACCTAAATAAGAGCCAGTTTCCTTTAGAAACTCCTTCCGGGAGGCATCCCGCCTTTGGCAGATCGCCCACGTGTCGTATTGCCGTAAACGAATAAACCAAAGCACGCCATGGGTTTGGATTCATAATCATTCGTTTATGGGTTCGGCTTACAATAGCGTGGTGACCTCTGTCAGGGCATCATCCCTGATCATTCGGATCACCCAATACAGTGGGCTGCCATTTTAACCGCTCGGCCATCCTGCCCTTGTCCGCTTACTTATTTCTTAAACCATTCCTTGCCGTGGACATTAATTAAGATGGTCGTTTTTAAATCACAACCATTGCGAACCACAAAGGAGCTGTGAGGAACGGGGCCCGACATATCCGGGACGAATCGCCCACGAAAAATTCCTGAAGTTGCTACCCCGGATTCGATCTATGGTTCTTCAGAGCGGTAGGCAGACGCCTTAATTAATCTCCTCGTCCATTCGGCCTACGATTCATTCGGGTTGAGGCATGGCGTTCGGGCTATTCGATCCTATCGAGGATCGAATAAACTTTAATTAAGGGATAAAATTGAAGCCGCGTAACTTGTTTCTCGAGCGAAAAAGTTAATGTAATCGCAAGTTTCATGACGATATATCAATGTACCAATAAAAATAAAGAAAAAAAGTTTAAAAAAATTACAGTCGACCCCCCTATAACACTGTCGATTATTCCGTTTTATATGAATTCCATGTTGTACGAGTCTCTTAGATGTTAAAAATACGTGAACCGTTCACAGCCAGGCACACGTATTTGTAAAATCTAATTGACTCGTACAACATGGAATTCATATAAAATGGAATTATCAACAGTGTTATAGGGGGGGTCGACTGTAATTACGTTATTTCAGTGCCTTTAACTTTTCACACGCGAAATTGACAGCAAAGTGAAAGTATTTTGTAGCCATTCAGATAAGTTTTGATTCATTATTTAGTTCCTTCATGCACAACGACACATCCAATCTTTTTAATTCTACCTCTTTTTATATCATTCCCATGTTTTCATTCGACAGAATGATTTCAACTTCCGCTGCATAAAAGTAGTAGGGGGCATTCGCTTGTCTTGTATTGTCTTTACCGGGGAGGGAACAACATTTTAAATTGACAGATCGATACAAAAGTTTCCTTCGAATACACCAGATGGCGGATCATTGACACCGGAGGAGGACACACATGACTGAAGAGTTTAACACACCAGGCTTTTAAGCCTGGAGCCAACAACTTATCATTTTCGACCGACACAATAAACTATTGTCATTTGTTTTTTTTATTTTTAAAATAATAATTACGTGTTGAATAAGTCTTCTGCCTGTCCTCCATGAATTATATAAATCGTTATTTTATTATTTAATTTTTTTTTTATATTTTTATATTTATTAAATGACATTTTAGTGTCCTTTGCGTGCATTTCAGGAGGGGGGAATAAACCGAATTGACGTTCGCTCAGGCTTAATTCGAGGCGAATTAAATATAGAACGGAACATAACGAGCCTATTTACTAATTTTAGAGAATAAATTTTGATCATTTAACATGCAAATTTGGTATTAAACTCACGTGTTGAGCTCTACTATAACAGAGCGTGGTGTATTCGTGATAATGTTCAACACGAAACTCCATTATGGAAATGCCCCGATTTAAAAACATTACTTGAAAATATCGCCTAGTGAAGAAAATAACAAGAAAAAAAAAGAACGTGTCTATGAACTCCGGGTTAAGAATTTTATTTTAATATATTATTTTTACGTCATTTATAAGACACAACTCGGTCGTGGTGTCAAGCCGGGTTTTAATGACGAACAGATTAGTGAATAAACGGCCTTCGAATGTCGTATAAAGATAACCTTAAACCCCCCCTCCTCCACGTAACATTCTAAACAGAGCCAAAGGTATTGTTTCAGTGCGGTAAACATAATTAAAACTGTAGTTTATAAATATATTATGCACCTTCATGCTTTACGTGAATATGGAAAATTTTGTTATGGTTGGATTCTATTTTAAAAAATAAAAAGGTACGAACAAGCAATCAGAACGAAAAAAAGAGGCTGACTGACTGAAAACAAACAGGTCTTGAATGACCTTCTATTTCTAGTATCTAGAAGGTCAGGCATAGCGTTAGATTCTCTTCACTTCCCGGTTGCGTTACTGCCTCGAGGGCAGTAGAAACTCTCAAGGGTGAGGATCTATCATGAAAATACAAATTTCGATCGACCCGTGAGTGATATCGTTCTACAATTTTATCATTATCTCGTCGCTTAAACATGCGGAGAACGATTGCCGTGTTATCTGCAATAGGCTTTATACTCACAGCAGGGAGTACAACAACAGATTTTAGAAGGGTACAGTTTGATAAACAGGTAAATGCGATAAAACATAAGAATGGAAGTGATTCTTCTTCTTCGGTGGCAAATCTTAGCCACGTTAAGGCTATATTAGCCAAGTTGATATTAGCCAGTATGCTTCACAAAATGGGATCGAACAATAAGACCCTTCATAATAATTCAACTGGAAGGAGATTGAACACGGAATTTCTACCTTATAGGAAATTAGTGAATTTCAATAGTCCTAATCGAATTTCTCCTTTTTGGAGTCTTAAACCAGAAGTCGCTCCCGTTGCTGCTAATTATCAGATCGAAAGATTTCCTTCTTTGAATTTAGGAGGAGAACAGATTCCAGTTTTGACTGCACCTTTTCATCAGGAGGATTTGAATGGTTTACAATTGTTATTACTAGACGAAATAGAACCTAACAATATACCACCCGACGTTCTGTCTGCGGAACAAATGAATATCAGAGAAGAAGAGAAGAACCCTCCTGTTCAATCGATAATCAAAACTTCAGCCGATACGTCGAATAATCCTAGATGTGATAAATTCACCGAAGATATATGTTTAGACGATTCAGAATATCCCAGGTTAGTTTTTTAATTTTATTACAGGAAACTTTTTGTAAATTTGATAACAACTTAACAGTCCAATTGTTTTTATAACTTACGCTTCGTTTCGTACGTTTTTCCGGTGTTTACAACGGTTTAAAATATGAAAAAAAATTGATGTTTTCATAGAGTTTTATATGTTCTTTTATCCTTTAGATCTGCCATCATGAATACAATTTACAGAGAAAGAAGTAAATTCGATCTTATGTACGCGGAAAGTAAAGAAAGAGAAACTCAAGTCGAAGGACTGACCAGGAAGCAAGAGGAATCATACACGTTTGAACATTATTACGGTCCCGTGAGTTACGGTATAACTAGATCGGAACCGATGGATTACGGTGTTCGAGGTGGGTTTGTTTGCCCTTCAGAAATCACATACTCCAAACCGCATCGAGCGAAGAATACCGAAGGCAAATGGAAGGTCATCATCAATGTTGCGGAGTTCACGCAGATGTTACGATTGGAAAAATGCCTGTAAGTGATATTTATATCATTTTTTCTCCATCAAAAAAATGTAAAATTTTGATATCAAAACATATCTATTTTTTTCAGTCGCCCGGGTGGGAATTGCAACTACGTTTCCGAGCAATTTCAATCTAGTTGTTCTCAGATTTACAGTTATCATAGATTAATGGTATTTGATAAGCAGAAGGGATTACACGTCGACGTTTTTAAGATGCCTACAGGATGTTCCTGTTTCATAAAAGGCTCTAAATACGTTTTCCCCCAGTCTCAACCGGTCCTTTCTCAAGAAAGCAGACCCGTTAACGTTCCTAAAAAGGCTACTGGTAAATTAACTGATGCTCTAGCTTCAATTTTCCATAGCAAAAAACAAAAACCTCATCCTCCCAATCCTCAAGTCCTTAATTATATTCAAAAGCAGTTAGCCTGGTTTCGATATCTAAATCAGAATCCTCAACTGATGGATAGTATATCGCCTTCCAACGTACTCCAACAACTGTTACAGGAAGATCATCAGGTACCTTCTAGACAACCCAGCAAGACTAATAATCATCCGAACAGATGGATTGCGGCACACCAACCGATACCGGGCCAGAATATGATCCAACATCTAAATAAAATCAATAGGGAGAAGACTTACACCTCCGACTTGATACCCGCCGACGACAAGACGTTTTCCGAGCCTCTAAACGTTAAATCTGGGTTCAGACCCCTACGAAAACCCATAGCATCTGCCTCTCAAACTCAAACGTTGGCAACAGATAGAGGTGAATCGATAGAATCTCAAGAAATCGTTGATAAATCTAAGGAAGCCAGGATAAATTTCTCCTATCATCCCATCTTGGAATATTTATCGTGAAGAGAGAGAGAGAGAGAGAGAGAGCAGTTATTTATCGAGATTTTATCGATGTAATAATAATTTATTTAAATTTCGAAATTAAAATATGTGATATTTTGTACATTAGTCAATTATTTAACCACAAATCTTTCATATATTTCCAATTTTAAGAAATATATCGAGTAGCTTCGTGTCTTACTACGAAAAACACGGGGGAAACTTGGGGAAAAACTTAAGAAAATGAACAATTGGGGACAAAAATATATTGTTAAATTGAGCAGAGGTGCTTTATCTATGGGAAAAAAAAAGGAAAATTGAGTCCCGAACTAATCTATTATTAAAAAAATAATACTTTTCCCGGAGAACAATGTCTGAAGTTAACCCGTACTTGGGGGTCCCTAATTAAAAATTCGCCCGGGTCCCACGAAGTTACAATACGCCACTGAAATCGAGAGATTCTGGCAAATACCAGTCGACCCCCCTATAACACTGTTGATAATTCCATTTTATATGAATTCCATGTTGTACGAGTCACTTAAATTTTACAAATACGCGAGCCGTTCACAGCCCGGCACACGTATTTATAAAATCTAAGTGACTCGTACAACATGAAATTCATATAAAACGGAATTATCAACAGTGTTATAGGAGGGGTCGACTTGTAGTATTCCGATTTAATAATGCAATGCAATGACAATAATTATTAATTTTCACAGGTAATTTTTACGGTAAACTTTAGTTGTGACCAGGAAAATATAGTTTTCGTGAGCGATTGACCTAAAATATTTTTTTTTTTCTTTATAACATCCTACTTAGTTACGAGGCAGAGAATATTCTACCCCGGGGATAGTTTATTGGTTAGAAATTGTAGACGAGTATATATAAAAAAAAAACCCTTTATAACTAACGAGAAGAGATGACTCGTTTCGGTTATTTCCTTGATGGAGTAAGAATTGAGTGCAGTGACTTCACCTACAAACACTTCTACGTGTCTACATTGTGTCCTACTTCCATTACGGGCGATGGAATCATTTACTCACTATTTTTCTTCAATCTAACAAGAGTATGTCCACTGTCACGTCTTCTTTTACCAAAGTAAGTGGCTAATATTATATTTTTTTATATAAGATTTCAAGTATAATACGTTTAACAATACGTAAGATACTGTAAAGCAATAAATTCTTCTCCTCTCCCCTTTACAGAGAGTCGTAGTGTTGTCGGCCATAATAATCATTACAAGTTTTTGTCAGGGAGTACAACGACGCGGAGACGAAACAACCTTGAAAGTCAGTCGTGACGACGACTTCATGCCTTTCCAATGGGTGGTAGAAATCAGAAAAAGGAAGTCGGTTCGAGCAGAAAGTGATAGAAGAAGAGAAAAGTATCGAAGTCGATCTTATACTCACACGAATTACAGGAAAATAGAAAGATTGGAACAGACTCACTTACACCACGAAGACTATGAAAGAGAAATTTATTCGCAGCATCCGGAAGGAGGTGAATCTAACACAAAGCCATCCTATTATTCTCCCTTTCCTTCTCCCAGTTTCCGCGTCAATCGACAGTTTCGGAAGTGGGTTATGGGTCCTGTCGGTATAAAGGAACCGTCCATAATATTAAATAAACATGGATGACTTAATTCGTCACACCCATTGTATATCTATGGGTTAAAAAAAGAGGAAAGTCGCTCCAAGTTTGTTAAGAGATTTTAAGTTTTAAGCTATTAAAATTGTAATTAAAATTGAATTACTTGTTAAAATTATGTAAATAACGTTAAATAAAACATAATTAAAAATGGAATAAACTTGAATATAATTTGAAAATCGAAGAAAAATATGATGCAATTAGATCATAAGAGTGAGATAACTTTACGTCACGTGTACAGGAGAAAAGAAGAATCTCCCTGACCTACTTGAGATTCAAACCCTGACCCACATGTGAAGCTCACCTGTATGGCACGGGATCATCTCCTATCTTGTATCGTGACGTATTTTTTATTTAGATAATAATAATAATAATAATAATAATAATACGTCAAGCATCTATCATGGGAAGAAACTGAAAAATCTTGCAGGTAATCTCGATTACTCTTCAGATATGAAGATATATATTAAATTTTATGACGTGTGAAGTGTTTATAACAATGAAAATCATTTAAATAATGTCATTATTTTATCGTGTAAATAGTTTTTAAGCTCTTTTATGGAGATGATACAAACTCGAATATAACGTTTTAAAGCTATCAACATGTTCGCTTTTAAAGCGAAATAATATTTTTAATTAAAAAAAAATAGAATTTTATAATTAGAATAAGTTGTTTTTTCTTAAAAACAAGTAAATTTATTGCTTTTCTTCTCCATAAAATAGTTATAAAAATCGATAAATGGCGATGAGTGATCGTTTAGGAATGAGAGGTTTTTGTTCTTTTTAATTAAATTATTAATTATATTATATTATAAAGTTTAAAGTTTTGATAATAAATATATAGAAATCTTTTAAAGAATTTAAAAAAATAAAGTTTTTTTTTTAATTAAGATAAATTCGGTTAGCAAAAGAACGATTAAAAAAATAAGTTTAAAGAAAAAAAATTATCTATTAACTCGGCGCCATTAATGAAAAAAAAATATATATAATAATGTGACTTATAGGTTTATTATAGAACAGCTNTAGACCAACTGATGCTGTAACTAGAAAATCGACTGTGACTTATAGGTTTATTATAGAACAGCTTCTTCCTTCTAGACATTCTTTTCTACAGATTTTCTTGTGTAAAACTCGTTTGGATGCAGTAAATTCGATTGGGGTCAAGCGTGCTATATGCGGCCTTGAGAGAAAAATACCAGTGCAAGGATAAGTTTTCCGGTTTTGGAAGAGAAAAATCGTAACATAAACACATCGATAATAAACATAATTAATCAATTGGTCCCCCCCCTTTGATAGTATCCCGTTAGCTAATTACTTCGAAAGAGAGATCACTCAATCGGATCTACTGCACTCCACCCCCTCTGAGAGTGCTTTGTAATTTTCCAGCAGAATGACCACATCCACCAAACCACCTGCCAAATACTCTCTTGATCTCTTAACCCCCCTAAATAAATAAAACCTGACGTTAAAGACCCTTCTCTTTCCCTTCTTTACTTAGCAATTTCTGTATCGTACGTATCCTTGATTATTAAATTTTTATTTATCTACATTCGTAGGAACGAGTAATTAGTACAAGGTTTGAAAACTAGAATATTTCAGCTTTTTTTTCTTTGTTTTTCTATTTCTATTTAAAATCCTGCATAGAATATAATTATAACAGATTACCTTGTTTTCTACTCAAGTCCAATGACTTACTCTAAAACATTTTAAAAACAATTATTATTATTATTTTTTTTTTGAGTCTTGCACCAGCAACTTTCTCTCTCTCGCACCGCCACTCACAATTCACTTTTGTTGCATTGTTGAAGAGAGAAGAACATCTTAAACACAGGCCTGGCCTGCTTCCCACAACTGAAAGTTTGACCTTCTATAAAAGATATATTCATTGGACGAGATTACAGATCATGTGATGTCCTTAAGATCTCCTATATAGGAGTGAATGAGATATCAACTTTTAGGATTCGACAATGGTAAGTAGAGATATTGTCCATTGGAAATGTAATCAAAGGTTTCGAGATAGAAAGCTTTACTGATAGTAAATAGACTCTTTTTTTTTCTTTTCTTTTCCCCCTTCTTATATATATATATATATATATATATATAATTTAAA